TGGCTGTATCTTCTACAGGAGCGCTCTCAGCTGGCGGTCCTTCAGAACAAGCTCAGCTCCTTCAGTATTCAGGGCCTGCCACAGCTGCCCGGTGAGGTGAGGGATCACTGGGAAATTAAGGTGGGAGATGAAACTACCATCAAACTGGAGGAGAGCTGGACTAACATCGTCAGCAATCACATGGTAATACTAACCACATTACAGACGCACACGTTTTACATATCATAGTAATTAGACTATTGAGACACACTTAACAAAAAGGGATCAGTACAGAGGCTAATATTGACACAAAGCTAACCAAGACAGATGAACAGAGACCATTATATAGGCTAGAGATACAATTACCACAGCAAATTTTAATATAATCCCTGGAGACACACTTTACGCGGAAAGATTAATACTGACCCTAGGAACACACCTCACACATGGAAATGAAGACATACCCTAATATAGACCCTAGAGACACACCTTGCACATGAACTTAACACTCATAAAAACCCACACACTTCTGACACAGGAAAAATTCTCACCTTAGGTAGATTCCTGAGACTCAAAGAAACAGAGACCGCAGCAAGAAAGAGATACATTTCTTATGTACTTTAACTGTACTGGATGGAGTTTCAGCCAGTAAGACAGTGAAGTGGAAAGGGAGACAGGGAAAAGGTCTTTAGCATATTGTCTCTCAGCAGGGGAATCATGTAACAGAGTTACTGATCTTTCACTACTTGCTATCTCTACAGATGATGTCTAAGAAGGAGAGACACCAGCAGGAGGCGCTGTGGGAGCTGATCCACACAGAACTGAGCTACATGAAGAGACTCCGAGTCATCACTGATGTGAGAGATTGTTATGGCTATTATTGCTATTCTTCTCTGTCTAAGTAATAGTGTTAATGGGGTCCATTAAATACCTATCGATTATTGTCCAGCTGGTGATCGCCGGTCTGCTGAACCTGCATCTGAGTGGACACCTCCTGGAGGTCAGTGTCCAGCTTTCGCTCCCTGCCTCTGTCTTTGTTTGTCCGTCCATCTGTCTGTCTCACCACTCACTCACGGGTCAGAGCTCCCAAAGAAATTTTCCGGCAGGACCCAATCACACACGTTAGGTGAAGGCATTACCAACGTGACAATAGAAACCATGCTGCGATAGTACTTCTTGATTATCTGGTACAATCTTCATTGACAGTGTGTTCTTTGACTTGGTATCGCAGTGATCTGGTCCAGGAAATCCTCAATCCAGTTGC